TATACTTTATCAAAATAAAGAATTATCACATATATGATGCATTATATTTAATGGATGGGTTGAGCCAATTATTATGTATTTCCGTTTGTTGAGTTAGTCCTGAAAAAAAATTGTAACATGCCCTGAGTGACTTTACTTTTAGTACCTTTAAATACTAGTTAAACTTTGGAAACAGTCTCTCTACCTCGTAGTGGTAAGGTTTATGTACACTCTACTCTCCCCAAACTTCACTAGGTATGTATATTGTTGTTTTGTGAAATTGATGACCTATTTAAGCAAACAAACAATTAGAAAGGGCTTTCTGATCGTAAAGACTGTAACTAGTAACCAACACATCCCTTTTTATAGTCATATATACATTCACAAACTCAATCAACTCTAAGTTGAAATTCAATTTAGAAAGACTTGCAGGAGACAAGATATATATCTGATAGTAGATTGGTTCATCTAAAGTTAAAATAACACTACAATTTCGGATAACTTATTCTGTGATTTTATGCCAAACAAACACGAGATAAATTCATCTTTAGATTAATCCCGAAATTAGTTATCTCTAATCCCTTATACCAAACAAGCCCTAAAAGATACTTATCCAAACCGGGTGTTTTGTATTGTTACCTCAAGGTACAGGGCAGCGTACTCCTAAAACATATAGGAAAAGGAAATCATTATAAATGGCTATCACTGTGCACGGGTCCTACCCCAAACCACAATAATTTATTATACGAAATCTTATTTTGCGAAAGACGATTTTCACATCCTAATCATATGAAACCAACTTTACTCTTATCCAAAATTCCCCTTCTTTGGATACATTTATTCCTTCCTAAAGTTACATGGCAACAACGAGGAGTCATGAACAAGCGCAAAGGCTTGAACTTCACCCACTCATTCGAAATGAGATACTAATTTGGAGTACAAGCGGGAAGCATGAGACGGGAATGTCTTCACCATTTGATATTGCATTATAATTATAAAGAGCTTCTATTGCATCAATAGTGGAAATGGGATTTACTTTTCCTTTTCACCTTTTTTCTTAATTAAAGTTATATAAAAAATGAACCAACAAAGTGTTTGTTCACAAAAATTGTTATGGTTTCTATAGTTCAGTTGTGCCTCTCATGGTTGAATGTGAAAAAAAATAATTATGCATTCTTTTCTATACAAAATTTATGACAAAGTGATAATTATACGAGAAACGTATGAACTCCAATCTATTCCATCAATTTGTATCAAGAAGAAGAGATACCAGACATGATAACATTATTCTTCTATTTTGTGTTTGAAATCCTAGCATAGGTTGGTGGTTGGTAATGTGTCACAAAGTCAATGCAGGTCAAGTGATCAAGAACATTGAACATAGAAGTTTACATGCACTTTAAGTGGCATTTGCAAATATTGTTTGTCTATATATGTGAATGATTTGACATCTCATTATTTAGTCAATCAAGTGATCTAAAAACTAATTTAGAACTAGTATAGTAACAATATCAAAATGAGCTTAAGTAGAAGCAAATGAACTGAATTTGTTTTTTAGAAAGAGTTTTACTCCTAATGTGTTAGGAGGCTTTCCGATGCAATATGAATAGATAGTCACATAATGTCATAGATAAAATCTCACATAGGAGCTATTACATATTATTATTTCTTATAATAATATACATCATATATATTATTTTTATGAATAATTTTAAACATCTTATAAATATTTTCATCAAGATTTATTTATAATATTTATTTATGAAGCAAAAAAGTTCTAAGCAAAAAGTATTCTGAACAAAAAATATTTTGAACATGAACGTTATTTTATTCTCCTTCCCCACCTTGTCTTTTGATTTTATTTTCATGTATGTTTAATAATCAAACAAAATCGATAACAACCAAATAGATAAATGTATATTAAATCAGATTTGATTTTAATAATTTAAAAACGAATTATATTGATTTGATTTTAATTTTGGACTAATAACCGACCCAAATGTCAATTTTCTTGCCAATAATTTCCTAGTTGTCCATCAAGATTTAAAAAAATCTCACAAGCTTTCAATTGACATGAAATGCTATTGATATCTTCTGAATAACTAGTATACCTAAAACGGAGTAGAGTAACTTTGTGGCTATTCAGACAATAATAAAATTTTGAATTGTATATAACATAACTTTAAAACATGAATATAACATTATTTAGGGAAATTGCAACTATATTAAATTATAATTTAATCATTGAGATAATTTGCATATAGGAAACCCATGATCAAATTAAAAATAGTAAATGCTACTATTGTCCATAATTTATTAGACGAAAAAAGAAGAAGATTCTGATATAAAATTTACAATAGATTGAATTATGAGATAATCAAAATCTCTTTCTATTCCAACAATGTCTTCTGAGAAAACGAGAGTCATTAGCATATTTAGGCATATCATGAAAGTCCACCATTATAGTCCCTCTCTCTTGACTTCCCTTTGCTCTGCCATCCTTTCCTCAAATTTCCTCTTAATTGATTCAAACTCCATCTCTATGTTTTTGATACTTTGTGTTTCTTTTTGCACTAATCTCACAATTGCAAAGCTTTGTGCTATTCTCTCAATTGGTTTTGTAATTGCACGACAATTGCTTTGTTTTTGTAGTGAGCAATCTGAAAGAAGTTATTTTTTATGAGGAGCAACTTGTACAGTTGGTTTCTGATTTGTAGGCAAATTAATCTGATGTGTTTTTATGTCACTTTGTCTTTTTTTTCTCAGATTTTTTTGCTTGATTACTTCATCTTCATCATCAACGTCAAGAATCAAGTAATTGTGGTCTTTAGAGTGCATTATTTGTTGAATATTCTATTTATGCATTTTCTTAAAGAGCACGAGATATATCACAAATTTTTATTTTTTCCTGAATTATGAGAGTCTTATTTATAGTTATAGGCTGAAAAAATTGTGATAAGGACAATTTCTTTTGGCCAATTATATTGAATTGACATAGTCATATTTGATTAGCCTAAACATGTCATTTATACACGTCGTGCATTTTCATTGATTTTAATTTGACGAGGCATGCTATGCCATTTTGATATATGTTATAATTATATTAGCTCCTTCAATAGACTTGACGTGCCACACCATTTCACATGCGATGCCAATTTAGTGACCTCATCATTTGTAGCTCAATTAAATAGACAGTCCAACAAAGTTTGACCATTAATAAAAAGGGAAAACTATAAACAAATATTCATGTTATATTTGCTGAATCCCGATCAATAACGATCAATGTAATGTATATATACACTGATCAGGGCATACTTTAACACTAGATATATGTATCTTTAATATCATATACATGTATTTATGCATGAAAACATTAAATACTTGATACAAGATACACTGATGAAATTGATATCATATATAAGAGATGAAACTAATTATGGTTATACATATTCATGAAATTGATACTAGATACACATATATATACACAAAATTTGTAAAACTCAAATGGATTCTGAAATACAGATACATAGGGATCAGAGAGGAGAACAAAAGAGTAAATATATCTCACAATATACCTATATCTCATATAAATGTGAATCACGCTTGAATACAACATATTTGAAATAAATTACACGTAATTTTACTCGCGTATTCCGGAGATGCATATACCCAAGATAATTATTTTGGCAAATAAAGTAAATTTGTTATTTCAACATGTAATTAACAAAAATAATAGTGTGCTTTGTGTTGTTTCATCACAATAAAATTCAAAATGATTGGATTCAAATAATTAATTAACTTATATTCATTCCCTATATTTATTTGGATAGTATATTTTGATTATCTTTTACTTTTATATAATTTGAATTTCTTATGGATTTAAATGTAGTAAAATTTTATCATCCACAATTGAAATTCGAAGAACAAATTGCTCAACAAAAATGTGTACACTTATATTTTATTTGTATGTAGTTAATATTCATAGGAGCGGAGCTACGGTTGTTCATTGAAAAACTACCCTATACATAAAAGTCAAATTTTACTTCATATTGATATGTTTAGAATTCTGGACACCCTCTCTTCGTGTTTAGACTCTAACCTTTAGGTGTCGAAAGAGATAAAGAGGTAGAGTATTGGATAACAAGACGATTTAGATATTTGCAGTATTTTTGTCCACTCTATTGTAGTTTACTTTGATTTTTTGGTTCAATTTTTATCAAACTTCAATTTGATATTTCGATGTGCATATGCTAATTTTAATTTATATGGTAACAATAAATGCACAATTTTTTTTAGGGAAAAGAGTCTGAAAAATACTTCAACTTTGGCCAAATTTGTTGTTACAATACCAAACTTTATGGAGGACCTTTTACCCCCTGCACTATTTAATAGTGTATTTTAAAGGTATATATGTGCCCACGTGGACACATTACTATTTATAATAATGTAATATTTATGATGTCCACGTGAGCACATGTATACCTTTAAAATACACTATTAAATAGTTCAGGGAGTAAAAGGTCTTTTCCAAAGTTCGATATTGTTACATCAATTTCGGTCAAAATTTGAATATATTTCAGACTTTTTTCCCTTTTTTTAATATCCTACTTAGGGTACTTTGATCCTTCCAAGTGTGCTATTACTTCAGCAGATCTGAATTTGGGGGGTTTGGGCTTTAGAGTGAGCCGCCCTTGTTCCTAAAAACATATAGGAAAAAGAAAAATAAATAAACGGCAGTCCTAAACAATATAGGAAAAGGAAAAAATAATTTAGTAAATTTGTTGGAAGTCCTAAACAATATTGGAAAAAGGGAAAAAATTTCTAAAAATCGTACAATTCAAAAATGGAAATTATTGAAAAGGTTAATTTTGTAGCACTCCTAGTCCTAAAAGATATGAAAAAGTTTCCAAAAAAATCTTATAAGAGGGGTTTGATGAGTTAAAGTTTCTTATTACACTTTTAACAAATTACTTTTTTTTCCTTTCATAATTGTTGTTGTTTTTCGAGTGAGTGTGAGAAGAATGGATATTGAAAGAGTTTTCATGAGTTGTTACAAGATCGAAGAGCAGCCTGATGATATTTTCAATTTGATCGAATTAGCTCTGCGTGTTGGCGCATTCAAGTATCAGCCACAGTTCGAAAAGCACAAAGCCAGGATCATCAAGTTCCTGATGAATCCCTCGATAACATCAACTGATGATGATGATGATGATGATGAAGAAGAAGAAGAAGAGGTTATCGAGGACAATGTTGGTGATCAAGATGACGTGACCAGCGTTGAAGAGCCTGAGAAAGAAGAAGAGGATGGGTTAGGAACACAACAAATAACTGCCGAAAGCAACAAACCCTTGGTGACGAAGATTAGAATAGTCATCCGCAAGTCTGTACAAGTTGCTGCTGCAGAGAAACAGAACAATTGCAATGCAATAACAGAAAGCAGCACGGAGTTGAAGAAAACTGACTTGGTTCAACAATTGGATAAACAAGGAACACCACAGTCCCATAATAGTACTACTATGCCATCAAGAAAGAGGATGAACGAGTCCACCAAACGAGTACAAGTTGCTCCTCCTCGTGTAAGACTTCTTTCTGATTTATCTTTCGAGAAGCACCTTGACAGAGACAAACAGAGCCACAAAGGTTTCAAGAAGATGGAGAGTGATCATCACACAGAAAAGAAGAGAGAAGAAGGAGCACAAAAGACCCCTACCCAATGCAGGAAAAAAGAGTGCACCACTGGTTCAACAAAGATGATTGAGGCCACCAAGCCTGTACACGTTATGAAATCGATGCAAAAAGAAACTCAAAGCATCAATGATATGAAGAAGAAGTTTGAATCAAGCAAGAGGAAATTTGAGGAAAGGTTAGCAGAGCAAAGGGAAGCCAAGAGAAGGATAATAATGGTGGACTCTCATGATATGCCTAAACTTGCTAATGACGACTCTCATGCTCCCAAAAGACGTTGTTGGGGTAGGAAGAGGTTTTGATATTCTCATGGTTCAATCTGTTGTAAATTTAACACCAGAGTCCTTATTTTTATCTTATAAATTATGGACAGTAGTATCCTATATGTGAATTATCTCAATCATTGAAATAACATAGTTGTGATTTCCATAATGGTGTTATATGTCATGATTTAAAGTTGTGTTATATATAACTCAGAATTTCAATATTGTCTTTTATCTTCTTAATCCGACTCTTGGTTTCTACTCATACTTCCGTCCCACTAATGTATGAAATATTTAGATCCTGAATAGGCACAAAGTTACTTTGTTTGCTAGTCGTTTTACGCATAACAACTATTCAGAAGACATCACTTGCAATTTCAGGTCAGTTGAAAGCCTGTAAGATTTTTAAGTAAGAAGTTTGATGGTAGAACTGTTTTATTCTGATAGGCAACTAGGAAATTATTGGCAAGAAAATAGACGATAATTCGATAAATAAGGTGTGTAGACATTAATACTTCAAGAACATGAATCCAGAAGACTGGCATTTATGCCCCATCATCTACAGACATACCTAAGTTCCAATCTTGAGAATACAGTTTAAGGCATACCATCTGTTCAGAAGACATTAATATATCCACAAATAGAATATCAGATCAGCTTGAGAATGTTGTACATTTGGAGCAAGTATAACACTTTTTATACCAATAGATTGAGTTGAATGGTTTACAACACATTTTGTATGTATTGAACGGACCAAATTGAGATATTCGTTATAAATCAGTTACAAATAACTATTGCTAAAGAGTTATAAATCATCTGAAATAAGATAAGGTTCAATATCTTCCTGGTAATTCTTTTGAAGATGCAAAAATCAAAACAAGTCAAGCTAGGAACATTCTATATTGTGGTCCCCTAATTAAGCATCCTGTTAGTCACTGACGTTGGACTCATCATGCATTAAGAAGACCTTGGACAGACTAAACTAGAATTTAAGAACAAGTACTCAGAAACATAAACGCGTTCCAACAAAAGGATTTTTTTTTTTTTTCGGTTTCCACTTGGTGTCTATTACCCCCTCATTGGAGCCTGGCTAAATCCCGATTCGTGCTAGGATGTCCAACATTTGATGGTAAAGCGCTTTTTAATAAAGGCGACAACGTACCAGGGACGCGAACTTGAGACCTTTCGTTAAGTATGAAGGAGCCTTTGTTTGTATCGAAAGGATGTAGTCTCAAGTCCTATGCAGCGTGAAAGATATAAAGCTTAAAGAGGAAAACTTAATCTGATGAAGCAGTTCTTTACCAAAAAACTGCCACAAGGCAAAAAGAGAAGACGCTAAGAAGGCGTGTGGAAATAAAAATAAAATAAATATCACTTTATTTGGAATTTTCAAAGTTAAATTTGTGTTTGACTATATATTTAAAAATATATTTAGAATTTAAATGTTGTTTATAAAAATAAAAAAAAAAGGATTTATACCTCACAATTTTTAAGAACTGGCCCAAGATATTTATTTATGAAAGTAAAAAAGCCCCAAATAAAAAGTATTATGAACAAAAAAATTCCGATCATGTATGTTTGTTGTTCTCCTTCCCCACCTTGTCTTTCGATTTTATTTTTGTGTATATTTATAATCGAATCAAAATTGATAGCAACCAAATAGATAAATGTGCATTATATTTTATTTGGTTTGGTTTAAATAATTTAAAATTGATTTGATTTTAGTTTCGGGTCAATTACTGACCCAAATGTTTATTTTCTTGCTAATAATTTTCTAGTTGTTTATCGTGATTGAAAAATCCCACGGACTTTCAATTGACCTGAAATTACTAGTGATATCTTTTAAACAACTAGTATACCTAAAATGACAAGTAAGTAAATTGATTTGTGCCTATTTAGGATTAGCATTTGGTAAGACCCGAGATCTAAATACCATTTTGATTGTAAACATTAGTGTAAGAAAAATATAAATAAACCAAGACTTGTATTAAGATGATAAAAAACAACAAAGAAATTTTGAGTTGTATATAACATAATTTTAAAGCATGAATACAACTTCATTTAGGAAATTGCAACTATATTATTTTAATAATTGAGATAATTTCCATATAGGAAACTTAGAATCAAATTAAAAATAGTAGTCATTTGAATGCTACTATTGTCCACAATTTATTAGACAAAAAGAATAAAATTTACAACAAATTGAATCATTAAATAATCAAAATCACTTTCTATTCCAGCAATGTCTTTTGGGAGCGCGAGGGTCTTTGGCAGATTTAGGCATATCATGAAAGTTGACCATAATAGTCTTTCTCTTGGCTTTCCTTTGCTCTGCCAACCTTTTCTCATATTTTGTCTTGCTTGCTTCAAACTTCATTTCCATGCTTTTGATGTTGTGTGTTTCTTTTTGCATTGGTCTCACAACTATAGGGTTTTGTGTTGTTCTCTCAATTGGTGTGTTAATTATATTGCAGTTGCTTTGTTTTTGAGGTGAGTAATCTGAAAGAAGTTGTTTTTGATGAAAAGCAACTTGTACAGTTCTTTTGATACACAATTTAATCTTCATTGTTGGTTTCTGATTTGTAGGCGAAGTAAAGTGATGTGTTTCTCTGTCACTCTGTCTTTCCTTCTCAAATTTTCTTTTCTTGATCATTTCATTTTCAAAACCAACATTGTCATCTGCATCATCATCAAGAATCAAGTCGTTGTGGTCTTTGGAGTGCATTATCTTCTTGAATATCGTATTTCTGTGCTTTAAGTGCACAGAGTTTATCACAAATTTTTATTTTTCTGAATTATGAGTCTTATTTATAGATGTAGGCTGAAAGAGTTGGGATAAGGACAAATATGTTTGGCCAACTATGTTGAATTAACATGTGACATGATTATATTGGCTCCTTCAATAGAATTCACGTGTCACGTCATTTTACACGTGACGTCAAACATCATTTGTAGCTCAATTAAATAGACAATCCAACAGAATTTGACCATTAATAAAACAAAAAACTACATACAAATATTCCTGCTATATCTACTAAATCTTGATTAATGTATTTATGTACGAATACACTTAAAAATGTATCAGTGCATATTTTAACACTACATACATGTATCTTTGATATCAACTACATGTAAACTGATGAAATTGATATGAGACACACTAGGTGACATTGATTTTGGATACACGGATTCATAAAATTGATATTGGATACACGTATACATAAAATTTGTGAAACTCAAATACATTATGAAATACATATACATAGGGAGATAGGCGAGATAAGGAAAGGAAAAAGGTGAGCAAGATAGTTAGTATACCACATATACATGTGACTCACGCTTGAATACAATAATTTTGGAATAAATTACACCTAATTTTACTCGCGTGTTTCTGAGATAAACATCCAATGTGACTTAACTATAAATACAATGATGACGTTGATAAAATTATCAATAAATCCAATATTCAAAGAAAAATAAAAGAAAACAAAATCAATTTTCAATCAAGTAAATAATAAATTTAATTCAATTAAACTAAGGATGTGGAATAGTTTTTAGCATAAAGTGTAATATGGCCTAGTGGTCTTTTGGGACATAGAATTAAATAATCAAAGGATATTTCATTAGATAAATAAGCGTATTCCACCTTCTATATGGGATAATATTCCTACCATTTTATTATAAATTGTTAAAGAATGACAAAAGTCTCACATTTGTAGTTAATGAGATGGGTGGACTCCGTATAATGGTTGGACAATTCTCCTTCCTTTGAGCTAGCTTTTGAGATGTAAGTTAGGCCCAAGACCTAATTTCACATAGTATCAAACGCGGGGCCCATCTCATCCAATGTTGGGGACCCCAAAAATCAAAATTGCTCACGCAGCAGATGTTAAGCCTTGGGCGTGAGGTAAAGTGTTAAAGAATGAATAAAGCCCCACATTGATGGTTAATGTGATGGATGGAGTTCTTATAAGATTTGAGCAATCCTCCTTCCTTTGAGCTAGCTTTTGGGGTGTGAGTTAGGCCCAAAATCTAATTTCACATAAACAAAAGGAGATAATAATATCGGAATTATCTAATACCTCAAATCAAACATGTAATAAAATTAATATTGAATTTTATGTCAAGATTATTATCCTTATTTCAAACTCAACTAAACTCAAACGGTGGAGTACTTCTTCGCTTAAGTCGTTTTGGTACGTAGGATAAGATGCACAAGAATATTCTATGAAATTATTTTATCCATTTCTTATATGAGATGATTATCCTATCATTTTAATATAAATAGCTAAATAAAATAATATTGAAATTAGTTAATACATCAAATTAAATATAAAATAAAATTAATCCCAAATTTTATTTAGTATGAGTTTAAGAAAGAAAGAATTGTTTTAGAAACTTATGGGCTACAATAAGTAGGTGTGTGCAAAAATTGAATCGACAAATAAATTGACATGGAAAAAATGTTAATGGTTTATTGTTATTGGGTTGTTCATGGTTTTATTAAAAAAAATATCGGGTTGTTGGTTTGGTTTTGATTTTTAATATTACCCAATAACCCATTAAAACGGTAGTAATTTACTATTTATCCCTACCTAAATATTAAATATTAATTTTAGTAACTTACTGGTTATTGCATTTTTTTCATGTTAGTTACTCTATTATTATTTCAATTTTATAAATGTTTGTGAAGTTACATTATTGTCTTGTCCTATCAAATTGTTGGAGAAGTCATATGGTTATTTTATAAGCATTTTTAAACGGTTAAATTGAAAACCGAACTGTTAAGGACCGAAATCGATA